TAGATAGATAGATAGATAGGTAGATAGATAGATAGATAGATAGATAGATAGATAGATAGATAGATAGATAGATAAATGGATAGATAGATATAGGGATACAGAGAGATAGAGAAGGGGGTTTAAAAATTGTTAGGAAGAGACATAATTGTTTGTAAATTTTAATGTGGTATATACTTCAGGCTGCATCAAGTCATTACCGTATTTTAGTGTATTTCTTTAAATTTACTCATGTCTGTTTGTTTTTTCGTTCTTTACAGATGACTCCGGCGGACAACGAGACGAGAACTGTGTGATATTCTCCTCAAACGTGGAAGTTCAAGGACCTTACTAGATGTTGTTCAGCAAGTGCGAACTTTCCAACGTCCTTGTGACTTTTTATGCAGAGTGAGATATTTTTCTATACCATTGTGCGAGAGAAGTCTAGAACTTTGTAGAACTAGTCTCTCCGGAATTTCGAAAATTACTGATCGGACGCGTCTGGCATCCGAGGAGAATTCTTTCGAGTGATACTTTGGATGAATCGTTGGACATTCAATCCACAAAGGCGTCGTTAGATGATTGAATCGAGCGACACACTTTCTTTCTGATGCTAATTGTGGTGCTTCAGTAGACCAGAGGGCGCTATAAACCGGTTTGACCATCGTCTTGTGAAAGGAAGAAGTGACGTCACAATCTCTCGAGGACTCCGGGGCCGGCCTTGGTTGCCGGTGGTCATGAAGTGACGTCAGAAAGTCAAGAGGTCAGCGGTTGACGACCCCCTGAAGAACAGTCCTGTCCGGCGTAATGGCTCGCTCCTGTGTTCCCGCTTTGTCTGGACCGTTCTATCTCCTGCTACTGCTGTTCCTACTGACCGCTGGCGTGACGTCAGCGAGCGATGAGGATGCCGGTATGTGGTCTTTTAGGAAGCGTGACCTAATTTTGTGAAACGAGTTATATTTTATGATACGCTGCTTCTTCTCTGTCCAACACACTCTTTCTCTTTCTCTCTCTGTTTCTCTCTCTCTCCCTCTCTCTCTCTCTCTCTCTCTCTCACACTGGTCCCACACACTCTCTCTCTTTCTCTTTCTCTCTCTCTCTCTCTCTCTCTATCTCTCTCTCTGTCATCTCTCTCTGTCATCTCTCTTTGTCATCTCTCTCTCTCTCTCGCTCTCAACCTGTCATCTCTCTCGCTCTCTCTGTGTCATCTCTCTCTCTCTCTCTCTCTCTCTCTCTCTCTCTCTCTCTCACACACACACACACACACACACACACACACACACACACACACACACACACACACACACACA